AAGCTGTGTGGTCCTAATTTAAAGCTTGTTTCTTAGGCTTCTTTGTTCTTTATAGAAGTTTACTAACATTTAGATAAGTTAATAGGTAACTCAGCTGAACTTAACTTTCCCTGATTCTTCCCCCCCAAAACCCTTCATTAACTGCTCTCATATTCAGTGCTAATGAAACCCCTGAGAAGAGTTGCCTGGGAAGAGCTTAATTTAAATCAATTCAGAAATGTCTAAGAAAAAAATGAGCTCTTTTAATGTGTAATTTATTGTGTGTGTGTGTGTGTGTCTGGTTACTCAGAATTTCTAAAATATGCATTATACATTTCTTTGGGAGAGTAGCAGAGAGAGCAGCATTATACATTTCTTTGGGAGAGCAGTGTGCTTTCCAAAATGATGATAACCCCAAAAGGAGTAGAAAGGATCGGGGGGAGGGTTTCAAACTTTTATGCTTGTTTCGCTTATGCCTCGCATACGAGCAGTTACTTGAGCCAGTGGCTAATGATTGCCAGTAATTAGATTTCTTACATTTGAAACTTGTTAACTGAATTGTGAAAAGCAGCTTTACATTGCTTTTTGGCCAATTGGATTGCAAAAGCAGTTAAGGCAAGGTGTGACACACAATAGCTTTACATTATCGTTCTCACTCGATTAATAGATTCGAATGCCAAAAACTATTTACTGTGGAGACATTGGCTGAGACAGTTACATGAACCTGTGTTCCAAAGCACAAAAAGGCAAAATTCCCTGTGCCTGGAAATTTATCTCTCTCTCACATGTTGGGGCAATAATATTCTACTACAAACTTTAATTTTAGTTCTGTTTAGTGGCTCCATCATTAAGATTTACAGCCAATTTATATTCCAGACTGCTCTGATGTGACTACACCTATAAAATTCCATATAATTATGGGCTCTATGTGACTGGAAAGATATAAACAAAATAGTGGCAGAGGACTTGATGAAATATTAAAAGCATTAAATGTGTGTGACTTGGCAGATCTACAGATTAGGGCACCTTGCAGATATTTTCAAGTTGTAAATATAAAAGGGAAGATGTTTGTTTTTTTGTTTGTTTTTGTGAAACAGACGGGTATGACTAGGATTAATGGGATGGAACAAAAAAGGCAAATTTAGGTTAAACATGTGACGGCTACATCTACATTGCGCATTCTTGCACAAGAAGATATGCAAATGAGGTCCCATTTTGCACAAGGGGCTTTTGTGCAAGAAGGAGCAGTCTACACTGCTCCTTTTTGCGCAAAACCCCATCTTGCGCAAGAGCCATTCTGCCACTTATTTTCAGTGTAAATTGTTCCTTCTTGTGCAAAAGTCCCTTGCACAAAAATGGTGGCTCATTAGGTAGGTAAATGAGGTGTGGCAATATTCATCGCCATGCCTCATTTGCATTTCTTCTTGCACAAGAATGCGCAATGTAGACGTTGCCCTTAAGGAGTGACAGTGAGATGTCATAAGACTGTAGAATAATGCCCCGAGGGAAATGGTGAAAGCCCAATGTATTGGGACATTTAAAAAACTACATTGGAAAAAAGACTACTAAATATAATGCATGGAATAATCCTTCATTAGCTTAAGCATGGAACAGGTGATATAATCTTTCATAGGTGAAACTAATCTCTAAGGCTATGTCTAGATTGCAGGCTTCTTTCGAAAGAGGCTCTTTCGAAAGCATCTTTCAAAAGAGCCTCTTTCGAAAGATTGTGTCTAGACTGCAGGCGGATCTTTCGAAAGAGAAATCCGCTTTTTCGAAAGAGAGCACCCAGCGAGTCTGGATGCTCTCTTTCGAAGACGGCCTCTTTACATTGAAGAACGCCTTCTTTCGAAAGAGGAACTTTTGAAAGAAGGCGTTCTTCCTCGTAAATTGAGGTTTACCGCCATCAAAAGAAAAGCCGCGTTCTTTCGAAATAATTTCGAAAGAACGCGGCTTGAGTCTGGACGCAGGGGAAGTTCTTTCGAAAAAAGGCTACTTTTTTCGAAAGAACCCCTGAGTCTGGACACGGCCTAATTTCTGTTCTTCTGTCTACTACATTTATATGCATTCTACATGACCTATTTATTAGTGTGATATTTCCTCACTCATCTTTTGCCCTTGTGATGTGACTAAGTTCCACCTACATCAAGGATGTCCTGCTTTTCAAAAGTCTCAGAGGGGTATCCGTATTAGTCCATATTTGTTTTAAAAAACAACAACAACAGCAACAAGGAGTCCTGTGGCACCTCAAAAACTAACAGACTTATTTGAGCATAAGCTTTGATGGGTCAAGATCACTTTGTCAGATCCCGTGAAAGCAGGTGCCCAAATAAATCTGCTAGTCTTTAAGGTGCCACAGGACTCCTCGCTGGTTTCCAAAGTAATTCTTGTATTTTAAATTTAAAAAATGCTTACAGATTTTTAAACCTACAAAAACCTAGCAAAAGGAGTCAGATATATTGACTAAACAAACTGTGATGGGGAGCTCTGGTGTAAAATGTATATTGGAACTTGTTTGGGAAGCCTCCATTTCATGCCGTCATCACACACTAACGTGCATGATGTAGTCTTTCAGTATGCCACATGCAGATTTCTTCATCTAACGAGTGCAGGGCTACTCAACACATGGCCCGTGGGCTGCACCCGTTTGTTTGTGGCCTGTGGTGCAGCTTGGGTTTACGTGGGGCTCAACACACAGCCCGCAGGTGGGAGCCAAAATAAAAAAGTAGTCAGTAGAATGGTTGTCTGTTGATATGCATTTTAGTAGTTAAATTCCTGGACTGTCATTGCTCATTAAAAGTGCTGTCAGATGGGTGGAAAATGGGTAAATGTTGCATTTTATTAATATCAGGACTGACTTAAATGGGGCCTGTGCATTGTATAGTCTTGCCTTAATCTTTGTATTCATGTCCATCAGTGTGAAAGAAGCTATTTACATATATTTGCATATATATCTGCATGTATATGCAACTACACTTAAGTTGCTGCCCTCAGCATATGCTGTGAGTATTATTATGGCCCCCAGGGCTTCCAAAGTTGAGTTGCCCTGAACTAGTGAATAGCAATACACAGTGCAGCCTAAAGCCTCACTAGGCCCCTAGACAAGGCAGGGGACGTGGCCCTGCTCCATACCCCCAGAAGGAGTGGGGCCTCAGGCAGAAAGGCAGGGCTGGGGCTAGGCAGTCCTCATCACCATCTGGAGAGCAGCGTGCCCTCTTTAGGCAGCCCTCAGTGCTACCCAGAGTGTGCTATGCAGCACTCTGGAAGTGTTTTAATGGGCCTGGGGCTCCGACCACTGCTGCTTCCACAGTAGCAGAGGTGGTGGACAGGAGCTCTGGATCCTTTGGATTGCTGTTCCCTGGAGCAGTTGCCCCCTTTCCCACTGTGGGGCTATGTCTAGACTGCAAGCCTCTTTCGAAAGTGAGTCTCTTTTGAAGAAGCCCTATTTACATTGAAGAACACCTTCTTTCAAAAGAGGAACTTTCGAAAGAAGGCGTTCTTCCTCGTGGAATGAGGTTTACCGCCATCGAAAGAAAAGCCGCGTTCTTTCGATTTAATTTCGAAAGAACGCAGCTTGAGTCTGGACGCAGGGGAAGTTTTTTCGGAAAAAGGCTACTTTTCCCGAAAAAAACCCTGAGTCTGGACACAGCCTCAGTGGACTGGCAATACATTTATAAGGGTGTCTGAGGAAATGGAAAGGGCTTATTTTCCAAAGATAGCAAGCTCTTTATTAGAGATTTGATAATATTCATTCTGATGATGTCCAACTGTCTTATACTATCCTGTGTCCACATAAGAAACTTCCACTGATGCCAAAAGTATTATCAGAGCTACTGATATTCATTTGTTTTTTAGTAAATTGTGTCATCTCTATAGTCGCACAATAATTTACTAGGAAATTTAAGAAGCTTGAATAGTAATATCAAGCCAAAGAACTGTTGTAATAAAAAAGAACTTCTGAACCATGCCTAAGCCAATGTAAAAACCATTAGACTTTTAAAGCACATCTTTGATTCTATGATTCACATGTGTAAAGAATGGTATCTATAATGATGTTTGTAATCAGCTGTGTACATTAAAACTGACATTTCAGGTATGCATTAAAAATTGCACTGTTTAAAATGCTCACAGTGAAACCCATTAGCCTATGAAACTTACTTGTTTTCTGATTTTATTACCTCAACTGCTCAAAATTTAAACCAGGTTTACAAATCTGAGCAAACCTGGGTCAATGTATGGTTCTGTACTGAGGTCAAGGAAAATCTGCTGGGTAACATGCTATTGATAGAAATTCAGCAGTTTTGACTACGTTTTGCATTGGGATTTTGAAATTGTTCAAACCTCAAACTCAGGAGTGTGAAACCAAATAAAATCTTTGCCAGGACAGATTTATCTCAGCTCAAGGCATGCAAATGTGGAAAAGAGCAGGAACTAGATGAAGAAAAAGACAAAATAAACACGAGAGGTGAAAATGGTCCATGCAGCAGTCTTTACACTAAGCCAGAAGAGCAGCATGTTGTACATTAATACCATGTAACCATGATTTACTGAACACTTGTTAAGTGGAACTCTCAGTTAACCAAAGCTTTGTTAATGCCCCCAAGGGTCATATTGAACTCTTCACTGACTTCTACATTTTCCGAACCCAGAGCAAAGTGAAGAATTAGAAATCCAGCCAGCCAGCAAAGAAAGTCTGCATTCCAGATTACCCATGCCCAGAGCTTAGTGAAGATCCGAGCTCAGACAAACTTAGTAAGCTTCTGTTCCCAGTTTCTCCCATCTGGAAAGCAGTGAAGACAAACTGACCATCTTTAAAGTGGCTGTACAAGATAGAATACAACTCCATTAGAGCTGACCAGAACCATCTGAAATCAGCAGTGTACCTTCCCTGACCTTCTGAACCCCTACTTTCTAGAGCTGCTGGATACCATAGGTCAATCAGGGTTGGACTATACATGTTTTTGATCTCTCTCAAGTAATGAAGGCAGATAATTGGCTTCAAACCTTCATAGTCTCCTTACTTTGGCTGTGATCTCCCAGGCTTTAGAAGACCATCTCACAAAATATCCTCAATTTTATCATTGCCATACTCCAAAGCCGTGAGATGCTTCCTTACATGGTATGTGTTGGCTCCTTTTAGGTCCGTTTTCTGCCCCACAGAAGTCTGCCACCTAGTGACAGGTGCAAGAAGAGAGAGCACAGCAGCTCCAGCTCTGTGTGACTGGAAAAGAAGACAATCAAGTCAATCAGCCTGCCCTGATGCAACTTCCATGTCAAAAGCTCCCAGCTAGGTATGGCTGCAGAAATAGAAAGAAATAGAAATTGTGGATAGGCCCCGCAGAGATGCACAAGTGGAGAAGGGGACAACATGGGAGTTTGCAATGCTGCAGTGGGGGATGGGGTTAAAGGAGAAATTGCTGGAGGCTATTTAGAGTCTCAAGAAGCATTTTTGTGGGACTCACCAGGCTCCTTAATGCATGCTTAACATATCTTCAACATACCTGGGATGTAGCTGCCACTCTTCTTAAATATGCTGTGCCTTCCTGCATTATTAATTTGATCACCTAAAATGTCTTTTAACGTTTAAAACTGTTCTTTAGAGCATCTGTCTCTAACTTGTTATTTATCTCTTTTCTGAAGGCTCCTTCACTTCTAGGAGTATAGGCACTCCCATATTGGATCAGATTAGTGTTCTGTCTATTCCGGTATCCAGTCCCCAACACTGGCCATTGCTTACCTATAGGCAGGCGCTGAACAACCTTCCCACAAGCCAGTTTCTTCCTAACCTTCCATTAGTTCAAAATTGGCTTATGCCTGTTTCAAGCCCTCCATTTTCCTTCTGCCACTTCTAGTCTCTTAGAGGAATGAATTTTTTAATTTTTATTTTTTTCTCCTGGATCGTCTAGAGATTTGTCTGCTGCTTTTTACTCTTCCAACTCCCTGAGTCCAAATGCCACTGTGAATAGCTTCTCAAGAATATTAAATAATTGCACAGGAATGATATAATGCTGTGTAAGTATGTTCAGGCTTTTAAAGGTCACTGTCCTGAAAGGAAAAAAAGAAGAAGAAGAAAAAAAAAAGCTTCCCATGCAAAGAAAAAATATAGATGATGAAAGCTGCTGCTAACCATCCCTATTTACTTCCCCAAAAGCTTGTTAACAAATGTGCAGAATCTGATGCTTTTACCACTCTAGTCAACAGTAGTGTCTGAGTTGTCAATATCTATCTAAAAGGCAGATTGCATGATACTTCAGGTATAAAGCAAATGATGTACAAAACCAAATATTATTGCTTTGCTTTAGGGTTATTCTAACCTATAAAATTACATGCTACCAGTGGTTAATTAATGTGTTTCACTCAAACTTCATTCACCTATAGTCATCTGTTGTATGGAGTAACATAACTATAAGCCAAACTAATATGAGAAAGGGAGCGTACTCATTCGTTTTAAGTGAGCCCAAACTTTTTTTAAAAGGAGACACAAGGAAATACTTACACTATCTCAATATTAGAGCCAACAGTAAAAGGCAAAACAAAACAATCACAACAGAAATACAGATGTTAAACAAAACACATGATGTTTATGAAGAATAGAAACTATTGAATGAGCATAAAAATAGAAAAGAGCAATGTTTGATTTTTTGCCGATTCTTATTTTAGAAGATGACTGCAGAAAGCAAGCTTAAAGAGAGGGATAGGATTTCACATTTTATTGGCATTTGGGGAAACTTTATACTCTGTCTCTGGAAAATCAGAAAGGGAAGTGGTTGCAAGGAATCCACATAATAATGTATGGGAAAGCCAACTAGAATTTACAAGGGAGTGGACTGCGCTGGTAAATCAAAGGGTTGCCAGATCACATGGTTCACAATTAATAATAGTGGGGTGCTTACCAGCAAGCAACTTCTCCATTTTCTTCTCCTTTATTACTATTTTATTCCCACTAAGCCATTAAATGATTTTTGCTTAACTGTTGGTGCAAAATATATGTTATTAGTAAAACCACACTCTGTATAAAATGAGAAGAAAATAAGCCTATTGCAGTTTCATAAAAAGGCAAAAATGTTCCAAACTGTGGAGTGTTGTGCTTTGTTTTGCTGTGAAATAATATTTTATGGCTGAATGTTATGGGAGACCAAGTATTCACAAGGACTAGAGTTTCTGTAGTTTGGCTTTGAGGCTCATTTTAGGTATATGGAACTAACTTAAAGTGTGGGCTCTTGAATTAGCTCCAGTTTTCCAGCTGTGACTCCCAGTAAAGGATGTTTATAGAAAACCACTGACAGAACAAACTTGAAAGTCTTTTTGTGATGCACTCCAAAATGCCAGATATCACATAAGCCAGCATTTTGTCACACCATGTGACTATACAGCACTCAAGTGAATAATATCATTAAACAAACAAACAAAAAAGCCTTCTAAAGCAAAAAGAAATGCCAACTGTCTGGATAATTGAAGTCTCAAAATATGGTTTGCCCTAAAACCTACCAATTTTGGTTTGCTAATCCTCTTCCATATTTAATTATAGTATGGCTACCTAAAGAGCTTTGTAAGAAAATAGATTGATAAAGAGAACTCTTGCCATTCACATTTAGAGGAGAGGGGAAAGGAAATGCCCACCAGAAATTATGCATTTCTTTGAACTATCACTAGAAACATGCACAAGAACTCAGTGTTTTACCAACTAGGAATTATTTCAGGTACCTTTATAATGCAGCTATTACGAGGGGAGAATGCAGCAGCTGTTTAACAATGTCGAGCAACTTTTCACATCAGTTAAGTACAGGAAGCTTCACTTTATAAATTGTGTATGGTGATCTAGAGATGTAAAAGAAGATAAGATGCAAGATTCAGTTTGATTTTCAGTTTGAGTTCTGTGGGAGTTTGCCCTGTAAGGATTCAATAAAAGGCAAGAAAGAAGCTCAGGATTTGGTCCATAACCATTACAGTTGAAGCGTTAATAAAGATAAGAGAAGAAGCACAAATATTTTAGGGTGGATGAGGTGAATGCAAAATGCCATGAGGAAGTCTGATTGCAGTTGATATGGGGAAATATAATACACTATCATCATTAAAGAACAGTTTAAACCCCAGTGATAGGAGCTTGATGTAAGAGTTAAGAGTAAAGCAGGATTATAGTCAGAAATATTTCACACAAAGTATAGTAAATGTATGGAATATGTTGGCAAGTAAAGCCATTGAAATAAATAGTGAAATGCGCTTGAGACAGCTGACACTTTTATGAAGAGAAAAGAGAATAAAAGAGTCACTGACAAAGTAGAGAGGTAAGACCAAGACACAAGATGCAGAAATCTTGCATCTTTTGAATGATTCACATACCACTCATAGTACTGAGAAGCTATTTTAGCCAGCTGCTGAAATGAGAATATATGCTATGTATACAGAAGGGAAACTGCTGGCTATGGGTCCAGGATCTTGTCGGGACATACTGGGGGGAGGGGGGGTGGATAGTTCATGCTGGCACAAAACCCCCAAGAAATAAGGGTGCTTCTCTTAACGGGATTAGATATCAGACAATAGGATAACTTTACATAAACCACTTCACTACAACATTGCATGGCTATCAGCTTAAGGAGGGAATTTCCAAAGGACTAAAGATTGAACAACTCTACTCCCCCTGAAGTCAGTGAGAGGAGATTTAGCTGATGCCGCGTGCTTTGGGACATCAGAATTCCTTTCCTACTCAGAATATATAGATACATCCATAAATCATCTCAAACTGTCTCTCAAACTGTGTCATTTGATTACCATCCTACTACAGGCAGTCCCCGACTTACGCGGATCTGACTTATGTCGGATCCGCACCTATGAACGGGGCTTTTCTCGCCCCGGAGCTTGCGAGTGGCGGGACCGCCCAGAGCGCAGCGGTCCAGCCACCGCATCCTCCGGGGCGAGAAAAGCTGCTCCGGGTCTCCCTGGTGTGCTGGGGGGGACTCCCCAGCACAGCAGGGAGACCCGAGCAAAGCCGCACAGGCGGCGGGACCCC